AGCCGGTGACGGCATCGCCGCCGTACGACGGTACAGCAGCTGGTAGTGGCGGCGGCGCCGGTGTACGGTACAGGTTGTGCGGCAGCGTCAACTGGAAGAAGGGGTTTGGCGGGTTGTGTGTGTGTGGGTGGGTTTGCGTAGAGTTGAGCAATCAGCTGCCGTTAGGGTGCGTAATGCGCGATGTCCGGAAGGTGCCGATCGAGCATGCGTGTGTGTGTGTGTATGTATGGCATTGTCTCCCCTGCCTTCGTTGATTCGTCCACGTTTCGAAAGGAAAACCACCCCACCCCACCCCACCCACAAAGCCCGCACATAAGCCCCAACCCCCATCTCACCCAAGCCCCCAAGCCCCCGGTGACCGCAGCGCGGCCTTGGTGACGCACACGACACCTTATCCCTGCGTCCTGCATGTGGTACGTTGACACCCCCCATTCCAACTCCGGACATTTCATGCAGCAGTAGGTGCCTGGTGGACCCCGGCAACGGTCCGCCGCCCTTCGCTTTCAACTAGTGTATCACCCACCTCCGCAACCACCCATCATGCAAACAACCCCCCTACATCCTCCCCTCCCCTCCCTTCGACCCCCCTCCCCTCCCTCCACGACATGTCGTAGCGAGTTCCTACTCACCCCCGCCGATAACGCCGTGGCCGTCGAATACTCCATACACACGAACTGCAGCACCCAGGAACACGGGACCATCGACAGCTCCACGGCACCGGTGTAGCTAGACAACCTAGCGGGCAGGATAACCGCCCGGCAGCTGCCCCATGGGTCCATAACCCACAGGCTGCTGCCGCCTGCATGTGTGTATTTGCGCCAGCAACGGAGGACAACTAGCCGTTAGTCGTTAGCCATTATTCGTTGGCCGTTAGGCGTTTCAGATTGAAGGTTTTAAGCTCTTAATGGTCTCAAGCCAACAGGGATTGTGCGAGTGAGTGAGGGTGCGAGAACTGAACAGATTTGTTTTTGTGTTTTTTCTGGGCAAGCTGCTGGTGAGGGGTGTTCAGTGTCGGTTTGGGTTTTAGAGGTTAGGATTTGTGGCCGGCAAGGATTGCAAAAGCAGCAGCCACGCCAGTTAGCCTGTGGGGGTTGGGTGAGTCGTTTTCGGAGGAGGAGCGCGAGCAGGAGCAGGAGGGGAAGGAGGGAAAGACGAACCACGAACGAGTGAAGCTGGGAAGAATTGTTTGTATATATATGTATAGGGGGTGTGTGGGTTCAGCAGCAAAGTCAAGAAGAGAAAACAGCATCTGTCAACTGACGCCCCAAGGGAAACTTGGCAACCGCTGCTGGATCCCCAAGCAATGACCAGGGGGTGGGGTGGGGAGGGGGCGGGAAGGGGCGGAGAGAGGGGCTCAGGGGATGGCGAGTGGGGGCGTTGTGTCGGTTATGGGGGCAGTGGGGCAGTGCGGGTGGTGGAGGGCGGGTAAGACAAACCACTGGTGGTGGACCCCGGGGGGGGGGGTAGGACTTTTGTGGACCGCATGGAACAGGCGCAATCAATCCAGCAGCAGGCGGAACCTGTACGGCAGATCGCCGTACAGCTCACCTGTATTGTACTGCAGCGGATCTTGACGAACGTTGGCCTGCGCAACAGCAGGAGGGGCCGAGGTTTGTGGGTTTGTGCCACGTGGGGCAACGGGGGGGGTCTCTACACTATAGACTAGACTGGTGGGATGCAATGTCCGCTCTTTCCACTGTTAAGAAGGGAAGAAACGCTTTCCCCACGGGCTCTTCCCCACGCCCATGGGGAGCTGCTTTCCCCCAGCTTTCTTCCCCACGGGCTCTTCCCCACGCCCGTGGGTGCTTTTCGTGTTGATGATGGCCATGGTGGTGGTGGGAGAGAGGCAGGGTAAATGCTGACAGGTCTCCAGGGCAGGTCAAGTGTACACGCACATTTGCGGTCATGACCGTTTACTTGTATACGCTGGACTGGAGCCTTGGGGCCGCTAGGAGGCTACGCTGTGAATTAGGCAGCCGTGGGAATGTAAAACACGTTTGCATTACGGGACAAAACACACACCTGTACAAACAAACATACGTACATACACGCGCGCGCACGTGCACACACACACCTGTCGTGCTTTGCTAATTTAGGCCTCCACTTATCTATAAACACGCAAATCGATGCGCGCATTGGTCTTTTTAACGAACGCACATTGCAACTTATTGCTCGGTGCACTCATCAGGTACACAGGCACGGCATATCGAGTGTGACACACGTCCCGGATATAAACCGACCCCTGGATCTATGAAAGCAGGGTCAGCATGACCAGTGTTTTGCCGGAGTTGCTAAGTTTCCATTTAAGGCTTAGGGACAGCTACCATGCATAACCTTCTAGGTCCCTCACACTGTCCCAGCTGCGTTCTTGCGTCTGCAACCTCGGTTTTACCTGAAGCAAGGCGATGTTTGTAGAAATAACGTCCTGTAATATGTACAACAGAAGCGTTGCAGGCGCAAGAACGCCTGGGCCATTGAGCGCTGTGTCGTCCGCACAGTACTTTGCAGCATCTTCAGCTGTTGCTGGCTTTAGTACAAGGCTCACGTTGAACAGCTGTGATTGTAGACGCAAAGACGCTGCGCCGAGGACAACGCCGCAAGCAGTCAAGGTGAAAGGTCCCCCGGGGCCAGCAAAAACACGCTGCTCCTGCCAATAAACCTCAGGTGTTGCCACTAAACTTACCTGTTTGGCCATAACCCTGGACACAAAGTACGGCCAACAAACAAAGGCCAACCGCGCGAAACATCCCACGGCGTTCTCCAGCAACATTCCATCAAATATTCACATTTTGATGGAGGGTGAGATTCCTTCAGCCGTAAAAACAATGGAAAATATGAACCGCATTTACAAAAGCGTGATACAGCAAGGATGCGGAAGTAAATTCTGTTCAAGAAGCGCGCAAAAGTAAGCTTGTATAGGAAGGATAGCAAAGTATGATGAGAATGGCAAGGAAGGTTAGGTCCTAACTTGGGCCTGGCAAATTAATTATACAGCTGCAGCTGCATGGAATAAGCGCTAACAATATATAACACGGATGTGCTAACTTTTCTATCCGGAAGTGCCTTGGGTACACAACCAGTGTGAACTATGACTGTAATACGGCGGTACCTGTACTGCCCTGGATTTTGGCATTTTCAACCAGATAGCAGACATAATTTCCATTTCCGAGGACCAGACATTCAAACAGTAAGATTTGGACGGTATGGAGATATGCGGCACATTGTTGCAAGTTGCACAACTCCTGCTCCCAAACAGTTGCACACATAATTACCCTCCGAAGTGCGAGCGTTCCTTGCATGACTCTAATACTAGTAATGTACTCTTATTGAATTTTTCTTTCTTAACATGCTATGGCGTTCTCGCGTTCCCGCAGTGAGTTTACATGCTTTTAACGGGACTCCATCTTGGCACCATACACATGTAACTATCCTACGAGCAGAATGCAGATAGGATGAGCTAGGTACCGTACGAAGGGGCAATCCCCGCTCATCTGGCAAGAGCGTGCCCGGGGCCGCCCTGGGCAAGAACAGTCCCCCTGTCGTTGGACATTACTTTGCCAGGGCAGCACCTCGGCTATCCCTGCCTGGTCCACCGTGATAAGCCAGGCAGGGGTAGCCGAGGTGCTGGTCTCGCATCCGCGTCGTATCGACGCGTTACCGACAGCGAGCACATTGATTTGGAATCAACGCGGCGGCGGTCTAATTGCTGCACCGAATTGATGGTTAGTTCGAATGGTTTTTCCTGTTCGATAGTCCGCGAGACATCAACTTGACATTACCCAAACAAATGCGCGCTGGGCACAGCTGACCAGGTTAAGACCAGAACCAGTAACTGTGAGGTGCTGTCGGGGATAGAGGTAAGGAAACATGGAATCCATTAGGGATGGTGATACGGCGTACCTGTGTTGAGGGTTTGTCCAAATATGCTTTTAACTCTCTACAAGAACTCCAAGGGAGTGCAACGGATTAAGGAACTGCCCCCTATGAACAGCGCCTGCATAGCACGTCCATGGGATGGGAGTACACACATTGAGGTCGATGGGTGTATGCAGTTATGCCTAATGAATGGTAAACGTGCGATGCCACGTTGCACCGTCTGAACGACCGCACGCAACCTTCAGATCAGAGCAGCGATTTGTTCATCTCTATAATTCAACACAACGTAATGGCATAATAACTCGAGCTTTAGCATTGATAGCTGTTCGGTGGAGAAGCGTGTGTACGTCAGCCTGGATTGCTCGGCCTGTCGTAAAATACGGTAGTCTTGCCCATAGGGCTAATTCAATGCCCCAAGTAGAAGCTACTGACGCTGTCTTGCGGACGCAAGACATAGGTTGTGTATTCTTGGAGCGAACAAGCGCTTGAAAATCCACGGAGCTGCACCAAAGTGTTCAGTTCAGTTCACAAGCCGTTTCTTTCCTGGCCTTAAATCTGCTCAACCTCTTTGAATCTTCTGAGCTAACAGTCGGCTGCCAGGATTTGTTTCTCGATAGAATTCCCTTGCGCTGATGTCTGTTTTGTACCTGCACAATGTGTAGAAGTGATTATTGAACATATTGTCACACCGTTTCTACACTTTCCCGCATACTTCTGCACAATGTCCACGGCCGGCCGTTCGTACAACACAGAGACTCTTCCTTGCCCTGTGTGGAAACAGCTAATCTTGGCATGAAATTTTGGTAAGGCAATACACATAAAGTCACATTTCCTAGATACGACAACAGTCCTTGTAAAATGCTTAGTGAACAGCTTTGTTGTATGTGGCACGAATTCCAGTGTCCTTTCGTGTTAAGTAAGCATGGTCTCTCCAATGATATAATGGCGCACTAGGGTAACGCACCCCGCTCAAGCTAGAGCTGTATTGACATTCTTATCCGCTACATTCTGCTTGGCGTCGGTGGCATTGTACCAGTCCATGCAGCTGCGGGTGCCCAACGTCTGGAAATACAAAGGTCCAGGATTCAGCGGGTGGATTGTTACCTGGACGTTAACCTGGCAGGATGGATTCCCCTGCCATACCTGAAAACTGTGAGGCGTCCGGGGCAAGCAGTATCTGCGTCAGCGATGGCATGATGCCGGGAGGTAGCTTGGAGTGGGGTCCGCAGAATTCGCGCGTACGCCTGAAGAGGACGGCCAGTTCGGAAGCGTTGGATGCGCGTCAGCCGTCTCGCAGCAAGGCCCCGTGGTCTTTGATGGAAGAGGCAACTTTGGCCATGCGCCACGCGCAGCTGGGGAATAGGTATGCAGTTCCGTTATTGGAGTCTGCCGGCTTCGCTCGGAACAACTCGTTGTTTTTTGCGCAGGTGGGCTGCAATAGCAAAGTTTTTACCTGGAAGAACAGGTATGTGAAGGTATTGGGCTCGTCCCAAAGGTCAGCTGTATGGTGACATCTTTGCCTGACCGCCTCCGTCTGGCCTTACCTTTCTGCACTTCGCCTTGCGGCCTTAAATTGATGACTAACAGAGAACGACGTTAAAAACATGTGAGTCTGGACTGGATATGGGATGGTGGCCGCGTTACTGGCTTGCGATGGGGTTTCCGGGGCGCTTTGGTAATACAACAAGTGAAGCCACCGATTGCGCCGAATGGGCTATCTGTCGCAATAAGCTTTCTGATCTGTAGTGATTTGGGTTATAACTCTACGCTTTTCGGTGGCCAGACCAAGTCCTTTGCAAGTCCTGATCACAATTACAAAGTTGCTCGGCTCTGTGAGCATCGGGCCCAGCATAAGCTTTCCCACATGTAGAAGCTTAGTTGCTGCAGCAAATGGGCTAGGAACCAAAAGCGAAACCTTAGGCTGGCGCGCGTTCCCGCGAAGTCCGAGGGTGCGGTCGAAGATTCTTTCTTTTCATGCGGTAGAGGGCCCTTTCCTTCAAAAACCCACTACAGCGCCTTTGTGAACTTTCTAGACTCCCGCAGGTCCGTGTGTGTGCGTGTGTGTGCACATGTCTATGCGACCCTCTTCTTAATCTTAATCCTACCCACAAAAGCCCCGTCAGCATATTGTCCTGCCCGCCAATCCATGTCATTTTTCACTATCTGTGCATGCAGGTGGCACAGCACGCTCCGCGCGAAAAGCTGCCGCCGAAGCTCGCTGCTGTACACGTACACGCGTGTTGTACGAGATTGCTGTGATGACTCGCAGGCTCGCAAGGCAGCGTTTGAGAAAGCGCAGCAGCTCTGCACGGACTCCAGCCCGGGGCAAATCCTGCCTGATGCTAACGAAGCCGCCGGAGCAGCTACTGCGCCGCAACAGCCAGTACAGCCGCCGGTGCAGGTGCACCCACCGCCGGCGCCGCTGCCGCTGCCGCGCGGCGCGGTTCATACCAGCAGCGGCATTGCGGTACCGTTGGACGCTGAACAGCAGGCACTAGCGGCGGCGGCGGCGCCGTCGCCGTGGCATGCAGGTACGGCAGTTACGATCCTAGATCCTTTCTCGGCCGATCCGTCAGCTTCTTTCAGGACGGATTATATTGACACCAGCAGCAGCAGCGCCACCGGGATATGGCCACGAGAGTATAACGCTGCGTCCATTGCGAGAGTCGCCGCTGGCGTGTTCACGCCCGGCAGCGGCGGCGTCGGTGGCGGAACGCCGCTCACTCGGCTTGGCAACGCCCCAGGCTCTGGCAGTGCTTTGTGGCTTGGCGTTGCGGGGGACGGCAGTGCCTGTATCTCCCAACCGCAGCCCCAAAACCACATGCTGATGCGGACGGTTTCCGTACAGCCTGGACGGCCGCTGTCGTACGGCGTCGAACAGGCGGCAGCGGCGATGCCGGCGCTTGGCGGTGGCTGCGGCGGCCATGGCGCCGTTTTCACCACGGTTGACGTTGGCGTAGCTGGCACCGCTGCCGCTGCCGGCGACCTCACTTGTATCAACAGCACGATGAGTGGCAACAGCACCACTTGCGTCGCGCGGCTCGCGCAGCTCGTCCTCTCTGTCGATGCTGCGGCGGCACCGTCATTGCCACACGCACAGCAACAACAGCAGCTCCAGCAAGATTTCCAACTGCAATCCCAACAGCAACAGCAGCAAGCAGGTTGTGGGGCGTCTGTCAGCGGCCCCGGCGGGGGAGCCGGCGGCCTGGTCGGCAGCGGCTCTTTCCATGGGAGTGCAGGTACTCACCCCTTATCTTTGGATAGCGGCATGGCGGCGGGGGTGGTAGGGAGCGTGACGGCCAGCGGCGTGGAGTGCATGGTCCCGGGGTATCCAAGCACCTTGGGCGGCTGCGGCGCTGGGCCGTTGATGTCGCATGGCCTCGGCGCCTTATCGCAGCTGCCGTGCATGATGCTCAGACCTGTCGTACACCCTGGCGTCGCAGAGCAGCACGCGCCGCCGCATGTCTTGGCCGCAGGAGCAGCAGCAGCGGCAGCGGCGCTAGGAGTAGGAGGGGTAGGGGCAGGGGGGGGAGTAGGCCATCGAGGAGGCGGAGGAGGAGGGTTGCAACCGCCGATGCCACTTGTGCGCGGACCGCTTCGGACGAGCAGCGACGCTGCGGTGCTCAGCGCGGCGTGGGACAGACATACAGGCGGTTTTGGCTGTGGTGGGGGCGGCGGCGGCGGTGCCGCCGCCGCCGTTGACTCGATGTTGCGTTTCAAGCTGGGATTGACGGCGGCCGATCAGGCAGCGGCGGCGGCGGCGACGACGGTGGCTGGAGGGGGAGGCATGCGGGGTGGGCTCTTGGCGCGAGTTAACGGCAGCAGCGGCGATGGCGGCGGCAGCGGCGGCTGCTTTGGAGGCCTTGAAAGGCAGCTCGGAGGTGGCGGGTCTTTGTCCGCGCCGCCGTCCACCGTAGGACCGTTTCTGACAACTGACGGCGCATTTGGTACGGCAGTACGACACCAAATGCAGCTGCTCCGAAGCCCGAACGTGGGTGACGAAGTAAAAGGGGGGGCCCAAATGTGGATTTCTTTGGGGGGGTGAGCGTAGCATAAAAATGCACAAATAAGTTATTGCGAATGCACGCGTGTGCCTTGGTTCATAATGTACCTGGAGCATGGGCCATCCTTTCAGGGATGGGGCGATCAGTAGCGCTGCCCGCCTTCGGGGGATACTACCTCCGTGACTTATGAAAAGCTTCCCCCTCCCCACGCGGTGCTTCGTCGTACTCCCCTCCCCACGCGCTTAAGTGAGCCCTTAGGAGTTGCAAATCCTTTCCCCGTTTTGCACTGGAAACAGTTTCCCGCAGGTACGGCAGGTACGGCACCAGCTCTTCCGGAGTATCCACATCAAGAGCCCCAGGAAGCGCTGGGAGCTGGCGGCGGCGGCGGCGGCAACACGGATCTCCCGTCCTGTGTGCCACCGCAGCCGGGTGCCGTACAGTTGGAAAATAAGCCCGACAGGGAAATGGAATCCGAAGAAGCGGCTGGGGAGACGGGTGGCGGCGGTGGCGGCGGCGGCGGCGGCGGCAATGGGAACGCATCGGAAGGTGCGGCTGAGGGATCCGACGTTGGCGCCAACGGCATCAGCAGTGACCCACGGGACGGTGCGAGCCGTTGTGGCGGCGGCAGCAATGGATCTAAGAGCCAGCGCGACGTCTTGAAGCTGGCGGCGACAGTGCCGGATTCGGGCCTTACGGCAATAGCAATAGGTGAGTGCGTGAGGGAGAAGAAAGGGCGACGTCTAGTAGCCGCCATTTAGTAGCCGCTGTTGTGTTGTGTTGTGTTGTGTTGTGTTGTGGGCTATATGAAAGCTGAATTTGGTGTCGTGCGTGCCCCTGGCTATAGGTTTCAGAGGGAATAGTCGTACCGCATCAGAGACCTTTTAATGCCGTATAGCTGGGACTGCTAGTCCCAACTGCCAACTGTCACCAACGGCCCACCCGGACATTCACGGGCAGGAAGCGATGCAGCGAGTCGCCAGTGCTGTGGTGCGTGGCGCATGACCGTGACCGTGTCCCGCGCGTGTGTGTGTTTTGCGTCAACCGTTTTAACGGCTGACAAGGGAAAGAGGAGACGGTATCCGTGCACCCTGCAGTCGCTGGGGTGCGGTTTAGAAGGGATAAGGATAAGGCCCGGGAGGCGGCACGAACGGGGCTCGTAATGGGGAGGCCAAAAAGGGGGGAGGGGTGATCTGACGCAACGACCTACCTGACTGACGATTGAAGCAGGTACCGGGGGTAGCTGGATTGTCCAGGAGAGTGAGACGAATGCTGCAAGTCAGGAATTGTTTACACTGACCAGTGATGGGTTTGATGGCTTGGATGAGTGGTCTTGCTTGGCGGCGACGTGGCCATAGCGGCTGGTTGCGAAAAACGAGTTGCTGACTAAAGCTGCCAATCCCCAAAGCCCAAGTCCAAAGAAGGCAGAAGGCGAAAAAGCGGAGAAAAAAAACTACCTAGCCGCCGAGATGGAAGGAAAGTCTTGAAGAAAGCACAAAAGCAAAAGAAGAAACTCTAGTGGTTTAAGTGTAGAAGTGAAGTAAAGGCGGCGAAGAGGAAATGGTATCGGGAAGTGTACGTGAAGGAATTGGAAGGACTATTCGCCATTCATTCATGGAGGTGAAACCCTCTAAGCATTTACTACAATTTGCTGGTTTATTGGCTACTGCTGCTGCTACGCTGCTTGCTAGTGTAGCTGACATGCAAGTGTTCCCCCCGGGGCCCCCCAGCCCCTGGTCCTTGGCCCAACCAACCCAACCAGCCAAAAAGGGGAATGCGCGGCTGAGTGTGAATGTGTCTTTACGGGGAGGTGGGGAGGAAATTCCTAAAGTGCATGATAACGTGCGTATCTTGTTGATTATCTACGGGGAGGTGCGATGCGGGAAATGCCGGCAAACCCTTGACGGCGCAGGTCCCCAGCAGAAGCCGTCAAGTACGACAATGAGTCCCGCGGGAGCTGCGGATGGCGGCGGCGCCTCCGCCGCCCTTGATATGCACCCCCTGGCTTATCTTCCGGGCGGCAAGGGTGGCAAGGGCGAAGGAGGTGCTTTATTGGATGGTGGGGTGCCGGGAATTGGCGGCCGGCTGGCGATGGCGGCGGCGGCGGGCTTCCAGGCCGCCGCCGCCGCCGCCGCCTGTGGCAGTACGGCTCCGGCGGGTTTCGCCACTGGTGCTGCTCTTGCGCTTGGAGCGCTGCATCAGCATGGGGTTGTACGACATGACGTGGCGGCGGCGTCGCTGGGCGCTGCCGCCGCGGCGGGGATGAGCTCCTTGCAGCAGCCCGCCGTCACGGATGCAGTGGTGGTGATGGGGCTGGGGGATGAGGACATCTTGGCGTGTCTGAGCGGGATGGACCCGGGTGCACGGCGAAGCGTCCTGGGTTACGTTTCCAAGAAGGGAACGACGTGACGACGCGGCAGCGGCGGCGGCGGCAGCGGCGGATGGGAGGACGCTCATCTTTCTCACACTTCTCCATGCATGTCAGCTTCTGCAAAGTTAGCGAAGTGACCTTTTTTCGAGTTCATTCAGCACCCACCAGCAGTACTACCACCACCACCGCCACCAGCAGTAGCATCCCTGTGAAATCTGCCCCCGGATTGAGAAGGGCGCGGCGTCACCCCCCCCCCGACCTAGCTCCAGGGCAGTTCGCAGGTCTCGCGCTAGCTCCAGGTTGTCCGTCACCGACCGTCCATTGACACGGGGTTGCATCCAGCTCCTTACGGTCGAGGTGGAGTTTTGTCCCGTTCTTTGTTCGGATCGATCCTGGAACCTTTCAGGAACAGTATGCCGCGTGCCTTTGTATGTAAGTATGTATTCATATCTGATGTGGACATGAAGGATTCTGACTAAGGGTTCGGGACGCAACACGTTGTTGATGTTCGCGATGCGAATATGGTGATGACACTGGCATATCGTTTGTGAGCTCGGAGAAACAAAAGCGTCCTCGTAACGGCGGAATGCTGCATGGGATGAGTAGTACGAAAGTGTACGGATGGCTGCTGATTCGCTGCCAGTGGTCGGTTTTTTTTTGGCGGTAACGGCAGCGAGGGCTGTAGCGCTCTCGCCCTGTCGTGCGGCCCGAGCCGTCCGGTTCCCACGGGTCCCGCTACTGCCCCCTTCCGTTCCCGCGACCACACACGTGTGACTTACGATGTGCGACTGCCGTACACTCACCGCGGTATTGTTGTGGCTAAAAGCGCGCTTCACTGGCGAAATGCACCGCAACCGCACCATCATATACGTTTGCGAGCTCTTATGCATCTTGGGTTGCAAAGGATGGCGTGCGATTGTTGTTGAGAAGAAGATGATGACGACGAAGATGATGATGACGATGAAGATGATGACAATGTTGGCGATGGTTGTGGACGTGTGCTAAAGGCGGGGGCGGGGGGAGGAATCATCAGGACTCGCGAAACATTTTTGGTTGGACGGCGCGCTGTGTGATGACGACACGTGACCTGCCTGCTAGTTTGACGATGCTGCCGCTGATGATGATAGTTATAATGATGATGATGATGACGATGATGGTGATGATGACGATGATGGTGATGATGATGACGATGATGGTGATGATGACAATGATGGCGATTGCTATAACCCGATGGTGACGACGATGTGGCTGGAAAAAGGGGTGCATGACGACCCGGCCCTCTTACCCTGCGGCTGGCCGTACAAATACGGTTCAGGTACAAGTACGGCAATGATGAAAGAGATAATGGTTGTTATGATTATGATGATATTGGTACGTCTTGGTTGGCAAAACGAGGAGGGGGAGACACGGAGACACGTGCTTGTACAACATGTTGAGAACCTAGATAAACCATAAACGCGAAAACAACAACAATAACAACAATAAAAAGGATATGATGACGAACATGACCTCCGCGCACCTTAAACCGTATCCCTTAGTGCGATTTCACTACTACCACTACTGCTACTTCACTACTGCTACTTCACTACTGCTGCTGCTGCTGGCTTCACCCTGCCCCGGCCTTACCCGTGTCGCTCGAACTCGGCAAAGTACGACCTTGTCCCCTTTGGTTTGTCCCTGGGGTTCCCTACTGGGGGGGGGAGTACGGGTTATAGCTTGCGTAGCTTGTGTGTCACAGTGTACCGTGGTGGCCGCCGAAGGGCCCTTGCGCGTCCGTACATTTTACGTTGGGCTATTGTACTGCCAATCATATGCCGTACATACGGTGCATTTTGACTTCAGCTTCTACCATCTGGCATGTGTGACATTCCGTGTAGGTGTATATACTTTGCACGCATGAATTTATGGATATGCATGGATGGGGGCACGGATGGGGGCAGAGGCAGGGAGGATCGTTCATGGGGGGTACGGATGTCTCCATAAGGGAGTGGGAGCACCGATGGAGTCAATGATGCAATGACGTTGGAATGCGGGAACGTTTTCAGGTTGATTCGTTGGTACGGATTCCTGCCCGCGACCCGACTCGATGAGAGTGAATTCAGGTTTTTAAAAACAGTCGAATGGTTTGGTAAAAACATATTCTTCTTTCTTTTCCTCTTCTTCCTCTTTTTCTCTAGGTTGTGGGGAGGGAGGTAAGGAAATGAAGTACTGAACGCCGTGAGCGGTCTCGCGCTTTCCCCCCGTCGGGATAGCCCCCGTATCATTTTACTCCTCCATGTACGGAACCCATAGTACGGCAAATGTCAAACCTAGCTTAAGATTTGCATTACTTTGCACATGAAGGAATGGGGGGGTTGCGTCGCGTCGTTTTGTTCCTATTAAAGTTGTTTCCTTGCAAAATTGTGTGCGTGACTGGGGGGAATTGGGGTTGGACTTGTTCTAAATAACAGATTCCGTACTGCTGCCTTCCGTACTGCCTACCGGATGGACAATGGGGATGTACAATGGAATTGGCGGGTGTACGGCAGTCGGGAGATGGCGAGACGGTAAAAAACTCGGTTGGCATTCCGGCCTAAATCCTAATCCAACGCGGTGTAAAATTCTTAGGGCGCAAAGAGTTATTAATGTATTGTGGGTGTTGGGCTTTTTGCTAATCTACATTTCTTTAACTTGACGTTGCGCTTTCTTGAGGGCGGTAACCAGGACGGAGTTTTGGGCTACGCTGCGTTTCTTTTCACTTAGGGTTTTACTTGGCAGGCCAGTCCTGAAAAGGTTTGTGGTAAGTGGTAGTAATGATTAGCGGCACGTGTGCCGAAGTGCGCAAGATGTCACCGTGAAAGGGAGTGATGTGGAGCAATGCTGACCAAGCGCCGCTGCAGGTATAGCTGGTGTGGCCGTGGTGTGGTGACGTCGTGTCTTTCGGAAGGGTCCTCCCCCCTTCTTTTCCTGTCGGGTATCAGGGGAAATTCCACATTCACGTCTTTGGTGGTGCGCGCCGTACAGGTGTGTCGTACAGCTGTTGCGGTACACACGCATACACACATATACATACACATACATATGGTTGCTCAGATGATTTAAGACACGCGGTCACTCTCATGTTTCCAACTCGTCACGTCCACATTTTCGTACGGCACATAATCCTGCAGGCATGTACGACAGTGTACACGGCATGTATAGGAATGTGCGCCTGTATGTGTCCGTGCGTGTAATTTTTGTGTGTATAATTCTTGTACGGCACATAGACGCATGCGCGTTCGCGTCCTTGTCCGAGGTTTGCTGAGCTCCCCCTCAACGCGGCCTGCTGGGACACAAAAATGTTGTCTCACACCCTTCATGAAAGCTAAATAGGCCGTAAAACATTTCCGGCTTGGAAAGGGCGTCAAAAGGCCTTGGAGCGGTTCACTGTCTGTCTGTTTCCCTGTCTGTATGCTTCTGTCTTTTGCCCTTGTACGGTGAGTGACGAATGTCGTATTTTGGTCGTACTGTCTCTGGAAAGTGCTGCATCATTGCACCCATCCGGACAAATTTCTCCAAGTCACTTGTGTGTGCTGGCGAGGAAGCGTGTTACGCATATACATACATACATGCCTACGTACATACGTCCTTGTTATCGTAAGAAGAGGCCGCAAAGGTCCAAGCTTTCATTCCGTTAGGTGATGTGGAGTGGGATTCAGGTACAGCACGGTTTTCCTCAAATGCGATGTTGATGCTGATGCTGCTGATGGACGTGTGTTATGTGTGGGAAGAGAGGGTGGCAAGGTAGGGGCTAGGAGATGTACGCCATACGCCCGCAGTAAGAGTGGGATCCTTTCCCTACGGGGCTGCCTGATGATGATGATGATGGTGGTGGTGGTGGTGATGGTGGTGGTGATGGTGATGATGATGATGGCGGCAGGATCTACCATTGAGTTTGCAGGACGACGTGTGCGCTGCGTCGTCCCTCTTTACGACATGATAAGCTGTACTGCGAAAGATTGGGTTGTGATGTATGATGTATGTATGTTCGTGCAACGCGTGCCGTACTGTGTGCGTGTATGGGCGCATATCCTGCTTGAATTCCTGGAAGCTATAAATGCCAGTCGGCGTATTTTGTGTGTGTGTGTGTGTGTGGAGGGGAGGTTTGCGGGCCGCTCGGGATTCGCGCTGAGGTCCGTCCGCGGGGGGCTTATTCGGGCGGCTCAAATGTGCGGGAACGACACATGGATATAAATTATGGAAACCCTCAAAAGGTACTATGTTACCATACCAAGGGTACCGAAGTTCGCTGAGTAGCAGCACAGAGCACAACTTTGCAGGAAGAGCGGCAAGGCTTTTTAGGTAGTACCAGTGCTTTTGTTTGGAAATGCCGTACAAATGTATTGGCACGGCATCGCAATGTGGGATATGCCGCCTACAGCTAAAAATCGCAATCGTCAAGCAGCACTTAATCCAAAAAACGTTTTCACCCAGCAGCACCCACGTCCGCAGCACTGCAATAAAATAAATGTTTTTAAAGTGCGGAAGAAAAATGTATTCCTCGAAAAGCAGGCGACTTAAAGGCCACCATACAAGCAACAAGTTCGACCAGGTTACCAAAATGGAGACCATTCCGATTATCCTTTTGCGTGTCACCAGTCGGTAACCCCACCAAACCAATCGGTAAACTGATCGCTTCGGTACCTGGCGGTAGGGTAACCTACATAACGAGCTAACGACCCAGTAACTGTGGGATCACCAACCGATAAGGTTACCGGGTCGTTATCTCAAAATGTCGGTTACCCTACTGAAGCGGTTACCCTACTGAAGCGGTCGGTTAAGTTGTAAGCTTCCTCAATCTCGGAGTGTCTCCAAAACGCCCCTCCTCAGCAATAAATTCCAAGCTGCTGCGTTCACATCTCTGTGTGTGTGCCTGCCAATGTTTAAGCCAAGATAGTGCTCTCCTCGTTTGCAACGAAGGGGGTCACACTACACCACACCGTCCCGTGGGTCACACACCTCCCTCTGCACGAATATGTTTCCTCTCTGCCAATCCCCTCTGACCTAGAGGAGCACCGCCGCAGGTGGATTTACAGTTGTGATGCTGATGTGGGCCTCAGATCCCGGGCTCCACGGCTATCATTTGCATGCAAAGGACTTACAGTCATCTGGTGACTCCCGCTGCAGTGAGCAGATAATATCCCGGGTTCGATTCTGGACAAATCCCTGACATGTTTGGAGACTATGGTTTACGGATTGCTACTGCGGTGTTGAGATGGGGTCTAGTTGATGGACTGAGTTTCGCATGCTGGACTGGCTGGCCTGTCTCTGCGGATGTCGGGTGACTGGATGAGGAGAACTGGAGGTGGCATCTGGATCCATCAAACTGCCAACGGTCGTACGGCGGAATTAACTTTCAATTTATATGATACATGGCCCCCGGGATTTGACGGATACGCCCGCATTCGTGCAGGACTTGTAAAACTTGTGAACTTTGCTGCGACACGCATTTTGCAAACTGCAACCGCAGCCGTAACGACTCAAATTGACTCTTTTCGGCAGCCCTAGTGTTGCGCCATTGCAATGTCGCCCATGCATCGATTCGCCCGTCCATCACGACGCCTGATCGCTGCCTCCACGTGGGTTAAGCCACGGCAACAGCATTGAAAAGTCGTCGCCGCCGCCGCCGCAGCAGCAGCAATAGTCGCAGTGGAGGGCTGCTGTAAAGGTTTAAGAGCACATCGGCATCAGTGACTGCAACAGCAGGGGCCGCAGTACGAATAGCCATAGCAGCAGCAGTAGCAGGACTAATAGCTGTAGCAGTAGCAGAAGCTACCTCCAGACGTGGCAGCGGCCGCTGCAGGTCGCTGCCACCACCACAGGCATCGTCGGGTGGCAAGCTAAGCGGCTGGGGATGGCCGTCATGTACTCCGAGGTCAGGGTGTGCAAGAACTGCACCTGCTGGTGGAGAGGAAAAAGGAGGAAAAGAAGGGAACTTTAACAATTTTAAAGACGGCTATTACAAAGATTTTGCCATATAACATAAATATGTAATTATGTGTTATATGTAGATAGTTGTAAGAAGTGTAGTGGATTTATTAAAAGAGGAACACCGGAAGCGCCTGCATGTACGACCTGTCCGGTTTGTCAAGGAAGAAAGGGAAGGGAAGAAGAACACGCGATTCCCGCCATCCGTACACATTCGATAAGCTCAAAATCGCACACCCTATATCACCCCAACTGACGAGCTAACGGCCGAACCCAGCAGAGCGCCCGCGCCACGACCCATCCCGCCCCACCCTCACCTCACCGCTGGCTTATCTGCAAACCACCTAGAGGCCCCACAGACGTCGCTGCCGCGTCCGACGACCGCTCCCGCCGTGGCGGCGGCGCGCGCAGATCCACGAGATCCAGATTCCCCTGCGGATCCCCCAGGTACGCCGTTCGGCCGTCGGAAGAGACGTCCAGAGCACTGAACTCACGACTCCGCGGGTCACCCGGTGCAGGTAGCTCCACCCACATACCCGAGCCGCCCAGGTCGAGGGCCCTGGGGGGGGGATCGGATGACGGAGTGGGGGGAGGGGGGGACACACCCTGGGGGCCCCCTTCATCATCCGCTGCTTCGGGAAGCGGCCCCAGGGCCCACCGTGCCGTGGACAAAGACAAGGTTCCGGAAAAGACAGACCCCAGAACGGTTTGTCTTTTATCGTACAATGCCGTACAATACCCACTATTATGAAGCAGCCGGTGTGGTGGAAAACCTGGTGGTGGTGGTGGTGAAGCTGGAGCTGCTGCTGCGACGGGTGGGAGGTGGGCAAATGGAAGAACTTCAAAAAGGATATGTTTTAGTTCTACCTTGTAACACAAGCAACCCCATGCCGTACCTGACGGACCCGTCGTACGAGGTGGTGATGAGGCGACATGGGCCCACGGCAGCTTCCCGACCAAGCCAGCGAAGCCCGGACACATACTCGGAGTGGGGCTGGAACATGAGAACGCCTGGCGGTGGTAACGGCAGGTAACGGCAATGGTAACGGTGATCGTAACGGTGATCGTAACGGTGATCGTAACGGCAATGGTAACGGTCATCGTATCGGTGATCGTAACGGCAATGGTAACGGTGATGGTAACGGTGATCGTAACGGTGATCGTAACGGCAATGGTAACGGTCATCGTATCGGTGATCGTAACGGCAATGGTAATGGTCATCGTATCGGTGATCGTAACGGCAATGGTAACGGTGATGGTAACGGTTATCGTAACGGTGATCGTATCGGTGATCGTAATGGGTCGCTGTTGTTTATGGAGGTAGCGGTATGCAGTTGTAGTTACAAGTTACAAGTTACAAGTTACAAGTTCCGCACACAAGTGCGGGTGTGTCCGTAAAAGCCGGGGGGGCCATGGACGTTGTATTGGTATTGATGCGGGTACACGGGAGGTCATCCTCATTCTCCCTCGTTCGCTTCAGGGTGAAGCGCCTCAGCGCGACGTGCCTGGCCTCCCGAATTTCCGAGAGGTACCTGGCCAATGCCAGGGGTGGCGCCTCAGTCATAATGGTGCGCATGCTGCGCCCCGTAAGGACTAGGTCACCATCATACTTAGCCCGTATGCTCTTGTAAGCGGGACATTCTTCAAAAACATGCAACTCATCTTCAACCGCTCCACAGTCACAAAGCCTGCAGGTACGCGCGGTGCGCTCACGCCCATTAGGCCTATTAACCTCTAACTCCCAACAGCCTAACCGAAAACGCAGTAGTGTAGTGTGCAAGTGCGGTGCGGGACGAGTCGGCCGACACTGAGCAGCTGGTAGCGGCAGGGGCGCCAGGGGGGTTGAGGTACGCGGGAAGACGCCACCAGGGGGGATGAGGTGCATATGTCGTACCTCACAGTTCCGGACCGTAAGTACGACATCCCTTTCCTTTCCCGAGCGGGGTAATAGGATCACAATCCGCATGGACATACATACATACTTAGAGGCAGGCGGCTGGCAGAGGTTAAGGCCTGACTTCTGCTCCCAGTCGACCCAGACGACCCGGGTTCAAATCCGCCTGCCGGCTCCTCGGGTGTTTGAGGAGTGATGAAATGGGAGGTGGGACCCCATCATATGGACGGTGTAGGACGTGATAATATCAACTTGCGAGCTGACCAGGAACTAAGTTGATGCGCCGTTGATCCGCTAGATTTGGTTGGATGCTGGTGGTGAGTTGCCGAACCCAACGAATACATTCTGAAGTCGGATGGGGTGACGGATTAGGGTGCCCCTCTAGCAGGGGAGAGCAGGGACTGCCCCGGGAAAGGGGGCCGCTGGCGAAGTTAACCACCCTGTAACTACATACATACATACTCTATATCTTTGACTCACCCTTTCACTCCATCAGTTCCACACAGGACCACATACACGCACACAAGCTTATTCCACAAAAGTATGCGAGATCGCGGCGCTACCACCCGGCGAGCTACCACCCACCAGCTGTTTTCTCCGCCGGACCGCCCGCCTCCATGTAGACGTCCCACAGCGACACCTTGCCGGACTTGTCTGCGGCCGCCAGCGTCAGCCGATCGCTACCTGGCAACCAGGCCAGATGTGTGACACCATCCTTGGTCACCTACGTACACAAGGTGTATGTATGTATGTGTGTATACATATCCACATATATATTCCAAAAGTACAATCACAGTCACAATCACAGCAAAACACACATACACAGTGCAACGTCGTGCATTCTCTCACTCGCCTGGGGGGTGCCTCTGGGGCAAGCCCTTGCCGCCAGCGGCAGCGGCAGCAGCCGCACCTTCCGCCTCCGCCGCCAGCGGGGCCCCCGGCAGCAGCACACCCGTCGACCTCTCGTGTTCGATTCCTGCCGCCAGCTCGGCCGCCACGCCGCGTTGCCGTAGCGACATCCGCAGCTGCTGCGGCTCCTGCAACCTCTCTCGACTCCTGTGTGAGAGGTGGGTGTGGTGTGGGACGTGGGTGAAGCGGTTGAAGCAAGGCAAGGCAAGGCCGCGAGTGTAGATAGTTCGTTGGGTTGGTTAGGTGGTTTGGGTCGATTTGGGTTTATATAGCTTGGTGGAGGTAGGTATGTAGGTAGGTGAGTCCTGAGGTGATGTGAGGGGAAAGACGACCCACAGACGATATTGAAAAGCCCGGCCTTCCCCGCTTGCATCTCGCTATCTGGCTGCATGAGCCTGGGGCTGCAACATGAAGGGACATCTTGGTCCTGCCGCTGTTGCTCCTCCATGACAAACATAATTCATATTATGTCATGCCGTTTCCGTTCCATTGCGGTGTTGCCTCCTTAACTTTGATGGCTGCCGTCGGGGTCAGATGGCACACACTCAATTTCGCAAAGTACGCATCTCACTCGCGGAATATTTAGTACAAGCTTCCATATTGAACAATTAGCGACGGTTGGCGTTGACATCCTCATGGTGGTCTCACCCCTTTCCATAACAGTGTGAATCAACGTATTGCATGCCCACTCTATGAGGGCAGCTTAGAATCATGGCATCAAGGAGGGCCGTGGCACAGGCCATTCGCACAGAGGCCACCGGAGACGAGCTAATGGAGTTGCTTGTTTTCGCGGCGCTCATGCCCGAGACCCAGCTGACTGTCCTTCAGGAAGCTGATACCAACAAGTTCATTGTGCAATTTGTGCGCCAGCTAAAGGCCGCAGGTGCGTTGCCCGAGGGCCCAGGTTCTTTCCTTTTCTGGAGGTGGTAAGCCTAGCGCCAGTCTAAACACAACACCTCCTGCTTATTAAAGAGACTTATCATTATTGTGAGGACACCCTTAACTTAGTCCGTATGTAGGAAACAGGGGTTGTCAGACGTTTTGATCCACAGCGGCTTGCCGAAGAGCGTTATTGTAGTCCATCCACCATGTCTCTATCCCTGCAAGATAGACCTTCAAGGCCCCTAACCAATCTGTATGGTCATCTGGACACCCCCTCACGGTTAGCAAGCTGTTTGTTCCTTTACTGGGCTTGAGTCTAACCCCTACTGTTGAGTTTCTATTGACCTGTGTATTGCAACCTTGTTTTTCTTGAGTCTAAGCCGTCTGGTTTTTTGGTAGCTGATTGCCCTTCCGACTTTGTGCATACTGATCCCGCGAGAATGCCACGAGCTTCTTCGCTACACTGCATACCATGCACGGTCTTCTGAACCGTTGGTCAGCTGTGTGTTCCTTTGCCAAAAGAGCACACCCCTGCTATGTCGTGACAAATGACCTAACTGTGTAATGCACCCTCTTTTTCCCTGTTTGATGTACAGGTGCGGCAACTGCTGCCCCGCCACCGGGTCCCAGCTCTGGTGAGTTCGCCTCATTTTTAAGTTAACTTCTTGGAGCTGCTATGTGTTATATCTTACTAAACCACAACTGGATGGTGGCGTCGGAAGACACCGATTGGAAGAGTTTCGCCCGGTTAAATAGCGGAGGATGCGGCCATCCCATGAATCGTACAGCCAGTTCCGAAAAGGCACGGTCCAGTCCGGAATGGCGTACCGTTGATCCATGCTTCCAATCGATGACGGGGCTCCAGTCGTAGCCTGTGCTACGACCCCGCCCATACTTCTGCAAGTATGGACTTCCGCCTGAGGCGGCGTTTACTTGTAGGCATCCATGACAGCGTCCCGCTCGCCGTCTGACCAGAGGTCGGAGCCATAAAGATCTGACAGAAAAAGCGGCAAAATAGGCAGTTGGAATTCAGTTAGTTCCAGCGAATTTGTCCAGTAACCGCGCCAAGCGAGAAAGGAAAAATTAGACAGAAAAATGTATCAGTTTGGGACCAGATTTAAGAAGCGGAATACAACAACTATCCCCCCTCTAGATGCAGCGTCCTCGATGCATGGCAAGAAACTGGCAGAGCAGAAATCGGGCCAAAAACGTGCGGGAGTTAAAACACTTACCTTTAACCCGCAAATCTTACCTTGCCCGTGCTCGTTGCCGTGCTTCTTCCAGCAGAGGTTTTAGGTCAGGGGTAAAGTTAGCTTCTGGTTCCCAACTGTTGTGCTCAGCCGAGTACCCAGCCCATTTGACAAGATACTCGTGCACAGTGCGCTTACGGCGGCGGTTTCTGCCTACTTTTCGGGAATGGTAATCCAGTATCCGTTCAACCGCGTAAAATGTCTGCTTGCCTGCAAGCCAAGTAACTGGTCCTGGCTCCGTGACAGTAGGAGCAGGTTTTGGCTGAAGCGCAGCAGCAGAGTCAGTAGTACGGAAAGGTCGGACTAGAGAGACATGGAATGTGGGGTGGATGCGCATGTCAGGTGGTAGTTGCAGCTCGACTGCAGTAGACCCAACCATGCGAACGACAGGAAATGGTCCCACCCAACGAGGTAAAAGCTTACGAGAACCATCCGCTAAGGACCTCAGTGCTCAGCATCACCAACTGCCCCTGCGAGAAGGTGATGGCACGTCGGGATTTGTTAAAGTAGCCCACCGTACGTTGCTGTGCAGCTTCAGGCAAGATTTAGCATCAGTCAGTCGGGACACAAAGGACTTGGCAAACGTCTTTGCTGCAGGCAAGTTGACATCCAACTCCTGCCAAACAGGCAAGGCAGGGTTGTATCCGTAATTCAGGAAAAACGGACTTTTGCCAGTCGCGCGATTCACAGCATTATTAATCGTGAATTCAGCAGCAGTTAGATATGTGTCCCAGACAGAAGGCGTACATCCGGCATAATTGCGCAACATATCACCAAGAGTGTAATTCGTACGTTCTGTCTGTCCATCAGTCTGTGGGTGATAGGCGGTGCTCAGGTTAACACGCATGCCTAACAGATCACCCAGGGTGCCCCTAAATCTGCTGGCAAATTGCGATCCGCAGTCGGTCACAACATTCTTGGGGACACCATGCAAACGCACTATGTTGACAACATAGTGCCAAAGAACAGACGTGCAGTTTGCTCAGCTGTGCAGGATGATACCGTAGGTGCCAGGTGCACCATTTTCGTGAGTCGGTCTACCATGACCAAAACGGCATCGAATCCTCCCTCAGTTTTGGGCAAAGCTACAATAAAGTCCATGGTAACACTTTCCCAAGGGGCGGCCGGCACAGGCAAGGGACACAGGAGGCCGTGGGGCTTACCAGACAGGACTTTATTGCGTTGACACAGCTCACAGTTTTGGACATAGTTCTCGGCGTCCTTAGCCATCCGAGGCCACCAGAATTGACGAGAACCTCGACCAGATGGGTGCAGCCAGGGTGCCCAGCCAGCGGGTCGTCATGAAAACGTGACAGGAGATCATGATGCAGCAAGTCATCATTCGGAACGACAACCTGCCGAAAAGTACCCTCAGTGCGGATCCAAAGGCCACTGTTACGGGTTAAATGGCCAGTATTGTGGTTATCGGAAAACCAGGGATCCGTGGCATAGGCAGCTCGGAGTCGTTGCACAAGTTCAGAGGGCACAACGGGTGCTGCAGCACGGTTGCTGTAACGACTGACAGAACTACTGCATGCAGACAAGGGTGCCGACTTAAGGCATCAGCAATGTGAAGGATGCCTTGCAGGTATTCCCATGTGAAGTCAAACCGGCTAAGGTATTCCATCCACCGGGCTTGACGACGATTAAGGGTAGGCACGCCTTGCAGAAACATTAGGGGTTTGTGGTTGGTTTTAAGGGTGAACAGCCGACCCTCCAGATAACACCGCCACTCCTTAAGCGCGTGCAGTACAGCAAGAAGTTCTTGTTTCCCAGTGGTATAACGGGTTTCAGCCCCCGAGAACTTCTTACTAGTAGAAGCAATTGGTCTCCCGTTTTGCAGCAGTACTGCTCCCGTACCATGTAAAGATGCATCAGTTACGACCTCCACACGGAAAGGTTGGGAGTAGTCCAGGAAACGCAGAATGATGTCTTCAGAGACAACACGCTTAAGTGTATCGAATGCTTGCTGGCAGTCAGGACCCCAGCAGTCAGGAGATACAAAAGCCCCTTTTCGTGCCAGATTTGTCAGAGGTGCAGCAATAATGGCATAGCGTTCGATGAACTTACAGAAGTAGTTCGTCAGCCCCAAGAACTTCCTTAGTTCTTGCAAATTGGTCGGGGTAGGCCAGTTCCGCACCGCAGCAGTCTTTCGGGGGTCCATGCGGATGCCATCCTTGGAGACGATGTGACCAAGGTATTCGACCTGAGGCTGGGCCCAGTGGCACTTAGAACGCTTGGCAAACAGTTGCTCACGCTGCAAAATTTCAAAGACCAGCCGTAAATGCTCCAGGTGCTCTTCACGTGTCTTTGAATAGACCAGGATATCGTCTAGGTAGCAAACGACAAAACAGTCTATGTAGGGCCGAAAGGTTCGGTCCATCAGGGCTTGGAACGTGGCAGGAGCGTTCGTCAAGCCGAAGCTCAGCACAGTATACTCATAATGACCAGAGGGCATAGGAAATGCAGTTTTCGGAATATCTGATTCAGCAATACTGATTTGATTGTAACCCTGCTGTAGGTCAATAGAGCTAAAGAAAGCCGAGCCATGCAGTCTATCCAGTAGATCATCAACCTGTGGGATAGGATAGCGATTTTTAATGGTGGTCGCATTTAGACCCCTATAGTCTATGCACATACGCAGAGTCCCGTCCTTTTTACCCACAAATAAAATGGGAGCAGAGTACGGGGATGTGCTGGGTCGAATTATACCTTTCCTCAGTAGGTCGGCTACCTGTCGTGTCACCTCATCCAGCTCCAGGGGGCTGAGGCGATACATGGGGCGTGAAACAGGCTGCGCACCAGGAGCCAAAGGTATGGTATGATCTACCGGTCTCATGGGGGGAAGTCCAGGGACCTCACGGAAGATATCTGAGTATTCGTTAAGGGCTTCAACCGCAGGGTCATTTTCAGTGATCTGGGTGACGGCTGTATTCAGTTGCAATTTAGGCCGTACTAGCAATCCATGCACCCCCTTGCGAATCATACAGATAGCTGCTTTGTGCCCAACGGGTTCAGGCTCAATTCGCTTACAGATAGCGGCAGCAGCAAAATTCACACAGGGTTCGGAGTGCGCAGCACTAGTATTCCCTTCTCCCATCCGTTCCGCAGTGGTGAAAGGCGCCTTATAACACAAGGTTCCCTTCCGCAACTGCAAGGTGTGGGCCTCATAATTCAGATGAGCCCCATACTGATCAAGGGTAGCGGACCCTAAGATAAACGTGGCTGCATCAGTAAACTTAGGCAGCACATATGGACGGACATTTAGGTGCAAAGGGCCCAAGGATATACGAAGGGAAACTTGACCCAAAATGACCTGCTTACCCCCGTCAGCAAGGGTGACAGATGACCACGATGCGGTTGAGGTTTCAGTCCGAGTTGCTCAATGATGGACGCAGAAATGAAGTCGTCGCTGGCACCAGAGTCGGCCATGGCAGTTAAAGAATGTCCAGCGACACGAATGCCAATTAACGGGACTCTGGGCCCTGTTGACGCAGCAACTTTTGCACACAGGACTGAAACATGGGGCTCCGTGTCAAGGTGCCCCAGGACAAGAGGGGGATCGTACCAAACGTCAGCAGTATATGGCAGACCTGGAAGGGAAACAAGTTGACCCGTCATGTCTACACCGTTGAAAAGCTTGCTACCAGCACGAAACTGAAGAACCCGACGCATCCCTATCAGCAAGGAGGCAGCCCTCGGGGATACATGTGCTGGTAACAGGAGACAGGCAGCAGTGTCCGGTCGTTGACGTTTGCAAATACGATAGTAAGCCAGCTGAGACTGAAGTTCCTTGAAAGAGGAAGGGGAAATCCAAACGGTATGCCCACCCAAGTTACTAGAGGTTAGACGCCGTGGAATAGCAAACAGATTACAGTGCTCGTCAAAACCAGGACGAGCAGTACGAGCGTCAAACGAAAAACGCCGTCCAACGGCCTTCTCAACTTGGTTGAATATGGCCGGTAAAACAGCACGGACGTGCTGTCCAACCGGGCAGATAACGGGTACCGTTTGGTTTTGTAACCCAGGGAGTGCTTCCCTAATACTGTCCTGGGCAACCCCCTATTTTTCCACGTTCCTAGCTCTCTTCTCTGAAAGCAACGGGCACTCCGCTACTAGGTGCTTGTCCTCCCCACAGCGGAGGCAACGGCTATTTTCCGGCGGTACTCGTACTCCGCCCGAGTGCAGTAAAACTTATTCATCCATTCGGCCGGATTCGAATCCCGGCCACGCTTGCCTAGCACCATCGTCCCTGTTCCCGCGGCAGCGGCCCTGGGCCGACCCTTGTCCCTATGCTTGCCACCCCGACCCCTGCGCCCACGGTTCGACTCACCAGCACCGGAGGCCTGGCGAGCTGTATTCCGCCCAGCGGCAACAGTAGCAGCCCGAGGCCTGACCTCCGGTGCCGGGAGGTCCCTGTCATCAGTGATGATGGGCGCGGGATCCTGCACAACGGTGGAAGCATGCAGAAGCACGCGGGTTTGGGCTTGAGAACGAAGTTTAGCAAGTTGACGGGCCTCAACACCAAGTGTGTGCTGCACAAGTCTTGCATATTCCTGAAAAGGCTTACCATCACGGTCGGTCGCACATTCTCCTGAAAACTCAGCGGAAAAGCCGCAGATAAACCAGAAAATCCGATCAACCTCCCTTAAGTCAGGAATGGGTGCTATGAGTGCCTACCGTTTCGTTTGCCCGCATCTGATGCTGCCCAGCAGCAAGCTTTTCTAGCGCTTCTAGTTAGCGTGTTAGAATCTGCGGGGCAAAACGAATTAATAGCGCCTCCAAAAGTTGCTCTGAAGTATATTGCAACCGTGCGTTAGTCCAGTCATCATGCCAGGTTTTCGCGGCGCCTTCAAGAGTGTTAGCTAAAAATAAGCAACAGATACTGTCATGATTTCCGCCCTGCACGTAATCAAAATACTTCCGGACATTGCGGCGCGGACTCGTGGTGCAACTTCCCGCGATAATTCACTAAGCTTAATATCTGCAGGAATACTGAGCCTAGGTACCGGAATATTAATTCTGATCACCTCATCACTAGCCCCAGTGGGCAAGCCGTGCTCAGTAGCGACATTATTCCTTCCATCGCCGGCGGTCGTCCCGGTGGTGCGACCCGTGATGTGTTCCACTGCAGGAATCGGAACATCGGATGAGGGATTATTCATATTTATCAATAGGTTACTGTTATTCAGGGCAATAGGCGGCGGCGGGACAGTTCCATTGGTCATATCGATAGCGGAGGGCAATCCCCAACGACTTCGCCTACACTGCTCCATTTCCAACTATCCTGACCCAGATCAGGCAGACCGCGTACCCAAGTAAAGAGAACTGTCAATTTTTCTGGAAGTCTGTTCTAGCACCAAACGGGTGCTGCGAAGCTCTTGACAGAGCCTCCGGCAAAGGGCAGGGACCGCCGAAGGAACTGGCGGTTCGGAGCCTGCAGCAGTCTTACCGCTATTAACCCAAAATCCTAGAGAAAGTCAGCAAACAGATTTGTACTTTACAGACCGGCGGCAGCGACTTCGCGGACAGCATCGCCAAGAGTGTCGACGATTGTAGCCAAAGGTCCGGTGACATCGTCGACCTCCATCCGTGCGCCGGTAGAAGTGGGGATCTTGATGGCGAAAGGGGGATCTTGAAAATTTCAGAAATGCGAGAGGCCCCGGGAGGAACCGTCTCGATACCAGACTTGTTATATCTTACTAAACCACAACTGGATGGTGGTGTCGGAAGACACCGATTGGAAGAGTTTCACCCTGTTGTAGCGCCTTATAGCGTTACAGAACTTAATCACTGCGTGATTAAGGCATGGCTTGATAAGACTGAGCTACGAACAGTCTACGAATATCTTAGAGTTCAGACGTGCGTCCTTACCAAGGAATGACACGCACTTGAGATACCTACAGACTCATCGGTTCGAGCAACCAATGTAGATCTGAAGAGACGTCGTACAATAGAAGTTGTTACGGCCTCCTAAGCAACGAGTATTTATACTCGGGAGGAAGCCTGGGATTAGACATCCATCCATCCATCCATCAACAATCTAACAATACACCAGTGAGAGAGATACCAGAAGCCTACGCTTCTGATGCTCCTTACTGAGGAACGAACCCAGTCCTTGACGGAGCGAATCCGTCCTGTAACCTGTCGGCTCTCGCCGCTATATCACGCGCTAACACGCCCGCTTAAATAGCGGAGGATGCGGCCATCCCATGAATTGTACAGCCAGTTCCGAAAAGGCGCGGTCCAGTCCGGAATGGCGTACCGTTGATCCATGCTTCCAATCGATGACGGGGCTCCGCAAGCCAGGGACCAGCATCCCAGTTGTAGCCTGTGCTACGACCCCCGCCCATACTTCTGCAAGTATGGACTTCCGCCTGAGGCGGCGTTTAAATGTAGGCATCCATGACAGCGTCCCGCTCGCCGTCTGACCCAGAGGTCGGAGCCATAAAGATCTGACAGAAAAAGCGGCAAAATAGGCAGTTGGAATTCAGTTAGTTCCAGCGAATTTGTCCAGTAACCGCGCCAAGCGAGAAAGGAAAAATTAGACAGAAAAATGTATCAGTTTGGGACCAGATTTAAGAAGCGGAATACAACACTAAGCTTACTATCCCCATTTCCTTACAGTAGATAGTGAAGCGCTAACAGATTTGGCAGTGTTGTGGCTCTGGCCTGCCTATCTACCTGCATGCAAAGAAGGCTCAGAGCGCCCATCTAGCTATGTATCCTGCCTCTTGTTCGCCCCTTTGGTTGCATGACATTTAAGGGGGCTGATTCCTTGGTAATCACAACCTAGGGAAAACCCGGGGAATTAGTTCCTACACATACATATGCGGCCTCTCTCTGGGTGATGCTATATATGATTACTCTGGATCTGTGTGTGTGTGTGTGTGTTACATGGTTGGGGGGTGCGTGACCCCATACCTGTAAAACTACCCATACGAGCCGAAGGCCCAAGGGCATTACCTGAACGCCTAAAAGCTGTGGAGAAAAGGAAACACCGCACTATCAGCCCAGACTAGCACCCAAACGGGATAACTGAGTTGCGATGAGTCAACATACTCTGGATCTGGATAGGAGAGGGTGGTAATGTGTTACCAGGGGGATAAACCCAGGCAGCTGTACCTGCATGAGGTGGCTGGGTAATATATTAAATATCGGATCTAACATGCATTGGCTTGCGTTCCCTGATCCTCCCCCATCTGCAGGTGTGGTGGAATTTGGAGCCAGCGGTGAGTGCAATATATGAGGCCCGTGATGCTGTGTGTTGCCTTTAAGCAGGGATTGAGTGCTAATGCCGTGTTGTGCTCTATCTGCAGCTAAATATGAAACTGACACAAGTTACCGCTACATCCGCGAGATGCTGCCATCACTGCCATCACGGCTATCACTGGGCTCTGTGCAGGCTGCAACAGACCTCAAAAGCTTCCTGGAAGGGCCCTTGGCTCGGAAGCTGCCAGTGCACAAAAGGCTTGGCATCATCCAGCAGAATGCCGACATCATGGACTACATCAACCTGGACGAAGATGCCGTTAAAACTGCACATGCTCTGTCGACCATTGTCGAATTGGCACTCATCGGGGGATCTGCAGGCGGCACATCAGAGTATAAAACTGCCTTCCAGGTTGCGCTTGTCGTGGATATGCCGCTTGAGCTCGCCGCATGTGCCCTCAACCTGAACGTGTCTCAGGACCGCAACGTGATGGACACATCTGGTGCCACAGGTAGGTTGGTGGACTGCTATGAAGAGGGATGCAACGAAATCTTTCTCGACTACTTCCCCTTTTCCCCTTTGATGTCCTGATGTCCCCATTAACCACCCCACATATTTTCGGGTCAATAGTGCATAGCTTTGGCGCCATAGTCGCCCACAATGAGAGTTCTGGTTGCTGCACTGATCTGTTTCACGGCCCCGCACTCCTGGTGGTGTCTGTGTGCCTCATCGCCCCCTGAGACCACAGTTCGACAGAAACGGCCCGACTATGTCTGCTGGCTGAATAACGCCCTACTATTTAAGGGCGAGGATAAGGCATCGGCATCAGGCATGCCGGTAGGACTTAACCTGGGTGGGCATATGCAAGCAAAGTTAGCATAACCCTGTAGCGCCCCTGAGCCCCTTGACCCCTGCTCCTTTCCTTTCTGCCACATGTTCAAAGGTGGCCATTGAAGAGCTATCGGACAAGATGGCACGCACGTGGTACGTGGTGGTGCAAGCACAACAGCAAGTATGAGAGCCGTGGGGCTGGTCTGATGCTTGTCATGTTCACCCCACCAGGAAGCCAGAGCTGCTGCCTGGCGTCAGCATGCCATGCATGATAGCCTACGCGGCCGCTGGTACCATGCTCCAGTTCTTTTCCATCCGGAACAGGTATGGATAAAGTATGAGGGCTCTAAGCGACGTCGGACAGGGTCATCCTACAATAGATAGCACTGAGAAATTGACGAAACATATGTTTATTGTATAGGTTGGTCTACAGAACGTGCCATGGTACAACAGATCTGCCTGGCAATAGATGGTCTGTAGTCACTCCTCAATATATAGATGCACCTACACTCATGTCCATAGGGAAACTTCTGCCCCCTGTGCCTGACAGTGTTCTTTTTTTCTTCCAGTGGTAAAGTTGAAGTTAGCCCAATCAGCAGTCTCTACGATCTGAGCACGCCCTTGGGGCGCATCCGAGCCTTGCACTGCACATTCAACATCGTGCGCCTGCTGGCGTCGTACGCGCCACACTCACCTAAGATTCCGGTCGCCCTCGGAAGCAAGCTTCAATCCAAGGGTCCTCGTGGAGAGCTCCTCCGTACTGTCAGATTCTTTGAAGGTGCTGCAGGGTTGCAGTCATGTAGACACTGGCAGCATAATTCGGCCTAATGAAACACGCTGTATGTACCTGTCTTGCAGATTTTGTACAGAAGCGTGTCTATGATTTCGAGGAGCGGCATTCTGGTGTTAACGATTTCAGCCTTCTCAAGGTACACATCACCTGCCGGGCCCTGCACAGTCAGCATGGTGTTCTACATAGCATGCTGACGTGCAAACCTCTGGTTACATGACCCATTCACAGGAGCTGTACACCAATGCCGCACTGGTGCAGTGCCCAAATCTTGTACGGCTCCACTCATCCAATGACATGGACGCCATCCACCTAGACGGCCAGACGCTGGTGCTGCACTTGGTGCCCCACGGCGTGCCGCAGTATGGGCCGCCCGGGGACGAGGCCAGCCTTAAGCAGGCGATTCGGGACGTGCTCACTGGCATTGAGTCGCTCCATGCAGCAGGTGTGTGTGTATCCACTGATGGCGAGGCAGGTATTGCTGCTATTGATAAACCTGCTATTGGTATTGCTGCTACTGGTATTGCTGCTCAAGGTTACCACTACTCGCTGGCCTTATGATTTTCCTCGTGCAGGCTTCGTGCACCGGGACATTCACTGGGGCAATGTGATCATGGTGCCAGGCTCAGCACCCAACATGGCGGATAGGTTCATCCTGATGGACTTGGAGCACGCCGGTGGGTGGCTTTTCAATTACAGCCCAGTGGTTTTTTCGTTAGGGCCTGAAGGTCCCTTTTTATTACTTATCATCAAGTATTAGATTTCCAGGGTTTTGTGCGGTTTACTACTTAGCTGTGAGGCGCTGGGGGGGCCTCCGGGGGCCCCAGACTCCCCCACAAGTTACAACTAGTCCGCTCACAAACTCACCATCGCCGGTGTGTGACCGACATTAGCACCAGTGTCCCAACAGTGTTAACAACAGTGTCACTAAGAGTATTTCTTAGTAATTTTGCTGCTTTGCTGTTTTTCCTTGGCCTGTGCATATTTTGCTGTGTTTGAACAGTCATATACGCTGCTATGCCGCGTTGACTCATGGGCGTGACCTTCCAACGACCATCCATGGCCCCTCATTGCATTCTATAAATTCAGATACTATGTTTCCGAACTTAAGAGCTGTCCGTCATTTTTGGATGAAGTAATGAAAATGTACGAGTCGGCCTCGACTTAATTGGAATGTATTACTACTGTTAGTGTTACAGCCTCCAGGCACAGGGTCGTCTCCTGTCTAGGTAGGTAGCAGACCTTACCGCAGTATCGTCGTTTTGTCCACTGCTCCTGCCTTTCGTCATGATGAGGGGTAAAATAATGCCCACGTCCCGTCGCTGTGCCAACAGGGCGGGCTGACAGCTCTCAGGACTGCCGCCAGTCACCCTTCCCCCTGGCGACGTGGCCGGAGTTCAACCCCATCCTGGATTCGGTGGATGGCCGCTACACTCGCGCGTCGGACCTCTGCCTCGTGTCGCACTGCCTTCTGGCCTACCTGCCCTTCGAGCTCAGCGCCAGCGGTGTGGCCTTCAAGCGCGCACTGTCTAACCGGGAGCTGGATGCTAGGGGCGCACTGGCGCACGAGTGGCTTGCGGGGGTATGACTGTAAGACGTGTTGGCCATGGAGCAGCCCACGGATAGCAAGGTAAGCAGGTGGGCTCGTGCAATGTCACCACCTATGTATGTCTGTCCTCATAGCTGCAGGCCCCACAGTCCCCATTCATGGTACACGTGTGATGAGGCATGTACGGGATCAGCACACGATTGTGCTCCTACTTGTCGACTGTCTTCCCACTCGTCTCAAGTTGACTTCTTCCTCTCACTCCCTGCTACAGCGGCAACGAGGCACGGGATGTGGAAGCTGCTTTTGGTTTGGTACAACCATGCACGCGGACACCGGGAAATGCTGGGAGGTGGCTGCTAATGTCGTACCATCCAAATTGCTTTAGTGGGTATTGCGTTTGGGCCGACTCGCAATGGTCAGGGCAGGCCGGGATGGGTTGGGGGGTCGGTGATGGAGACCCAAGCACGTGGAGCAAAGTGCCAGGGAGATGCTGAAGACGTCGGCGCAGGCGGGGGAGACAACGAAAGGCCTTGCGGGTGATGGGTGTTATCGAAGACGTTGGCGAGTAAGGCAGAGTGGCAGCAGAGCGGCTGCATCCGCGGCTGTTGGTGCTAGCCGCGGCTGAATGCAGGGGCCCTGCAGCTATTAGCGCGGCTAGGGCCTGGTCTCACCTGGCGGGTTATGCGACTAGAGGTTGAGCTGAGCACCGAGATGGAAAGGGCGAGGCATGGGGTTTGGGTGGCGCACACGGAAAGGTGCACACGGGAGCAACCTTAGTTGATTGAGTTATGGGAGGGTGGATTCATTTGGGCCGAGATTAGCAGGGTGCCATGTGGCAGGATAGCAATAATTCATCTGGTAAGAAGAAGGCAAGTAGTAGGATTCCTTGTTGTAGCTGTAGGTTTGCTGGAGAGTTGATATTGCAGCTGGACGTGTGGACGCCGTACACTTGACTGCATCTCTGCACGACGTCCTCTGGCGCTGCCGTAGTCCCTGTGCCCTCATGACCGCATGCAAGGAAGAGGAGAGATATAGCTGCGTAAAGAGCGAAGTGGAGAGCGCTGTAGGGAACGAAGTGGCTTTTTTGTACCGCCGCAAGGAGACACATGTTGTTGATCGCGAGGACGGCTGGCACCTGCCTGACATGGGGGTGGTGGTGGGAAACCTGCTCAGCCATGTCCGACCTGTACGACGTTCAATGAAAAATGTGGTATTAATACATGGCAGTGCAGGCGACGAGGAGGGTGGCCGGTGATCGGCCGGCGTTGTGAATGTTCAAGTCCAAAGGTAGGTGGGTGGGTGTGTTTTGTGTGCTGAAGATTGCTGGAGAGCGATTTTCTTCATCCCCCCATCCCTTCTGGGGCGTATTTCCGCGTGTATACGGCCCTCCCTGTACATGATTTAAAGACGGGGTTAGGCGGTTCGTCGCCGCCCTCCCCACACACACACGCGAGGGGGGAGAAATGAACTTTTTGCAGACGGCTGGGCGGAGGGCTCGGCTCAGTGCGTGTTGGGTTCCGCCATTTGCGTGCGGAGAGGGCGGGGTTGCAGCACAGCTGATGTCGTACAACAAGATGACGAGGTGGCGTCGCTCCTCTTCGTTGGGTGCTGCGATGGCGATGGTGTTCCGCGATGTGGTGTCGGTAACTGCAGCGCTAGTGGACGGCAGCCGTCGTGTGCTCGACATTGAAGTTGCACTTGATGTGCAGGAAGGGGAGGAGGTGGCGGCGGCGGCGGAGGGGGCGCGAGTGATGATGGTTTCCTTCTGTTGAATGGTAGCCCCTGTTTGTGGTAATTTCCTTTATACGCCTGATGTTGTGAGCAGCTGGGTTTGATCTGAGGGTTTGGTCTGATCTGTCCGGGTGTTGTCGGGGAAGAGATCTTTTGCCTCCCCTTATCCGTTCCCCGGATGGCCTCGCTCGTTCTGACAACAATAGCGCAGGTGTTCAGTTTTTTGGTGCGTTCGCGTTGTAGTGCATGATGGTAAGTACCCTATGTTAAACCTAAGAACACCAAGGAAAATGTTTCGTTGGAACAGCATGGTAACTGTGAGACGAATTACGAAAAACGTAACATGATATGGCAATGGCGAAAAAACAGCGCCCGCCTCCTCGTCCTCCTCCTTGAGGCTATCTCGCACCACGAGCCTCAGCGTGAAACAAAGCAAAGGACCTGTTGACACAAGGGAGCTGACAGACGCTGCCTGCTCTCGCCTGCCACGCAGAGAACCCTCCCCCTCTATGCTAGAGAACCGTCCCCCTCCCTCTTCACACCTCTTTCCCTCCACCCTTCACCTCAGGTATATGGGATGATGGCAGGTGGGGGGTTAGGATAGCCATAGCTGCGTCGGCGATGGCAATGGGCTCCGGGGTGTTGGTTAGTAGCCGCACAGGTCAGCTGGTCGAGTTAGTTGCTGATGCCGGTAGCAGTTGGCAGTTGGTGCCAGTGTATGTGTTAATTAAGATAATTCTCCTCCTCGCTGCATACAATATGTACTTACAGGTCATGGACATGCACACGCTTTCATATACACCTCCCGTCGTACAATCAGGCCACACACTCCTTCGAAGAATACGTCAACCACTGGCAGTTACAAGCCGTACGATTCCATGATTTGGTGTCGTGGAGTATGACATCGGTGATTCGAGAGGGGGGAATGACGGCACCGCCATCTCCTGTAATGTGGAGTTTGACAATCCTAATGGCCCAACTGGCCCATCTAGCCCCACTGACATGCTGCTCCGAAGCCACGGTTCCAAATCCGCGCGAAATATTGATAAGGACAGCTGCGAGGTATCCTCTCACGTCTCTTGATAACTTTATTTATTCTGTTGGTCCCGCCAATCCAACCTGGAAGGACGCGACCTACGTTTTTGCTTTGTAACTTCTTTAGTGGTGGAGTTGAATCCTTGGCATTGCTTAGTGTGTTTCAGCAGGCTAAATATACCTGCTTGGCGTTTGGAAGGTTTCTTGCTTGATCAGCAGCTCGGACCGTGGGTCACAGCTGGAGTGCGAGCAAGGAGGTTTGTCATAGTGAACCAATAGCTATGGTAATAGTGTTTCATAGCTTACTATTTCCATATACCGAAAGCTCTCTCAAGGATTTATTGCTCGCGGAGGACCGTTTGCACTTCCAGCCCTGACGTTCAAGATCACTTTAGATCACTTGCCAGAGCCCAGAAGACGCACTGCGGTACAAAGCTACGATTATCATAGATTATTTATATTGTCTAGTGCACATAGTACTTCTAGATATCTTTTAGGCAAGATGCTTGTCGCACGGTCCAGCAGCATTGCGTCTTCTCGGTCGCGGTCCGCTCGGCGACCAACCCGTTCAGCGGTGGTGGTTCGCGCCGAGCTGCCCCGATGGCCTCTCATCTTCAAGGCTCTGACGAATGCGAAGATCGAAACCGTTTCACCTGAGGAGGCAAAGGCTCGCATTGACAATGGTATGACCTCACATGGGTGCCCTGGGTTGCTCCGTAAGCTGAAACGAGCGGATTGACTGTTATAGAATGTCTCATTCTTTAAACTTGCACTTTGGATCCTTGAAATACGGTGTTTCGTGGGAGATCTTTTTAGGGCAAAACTATCGGTCTTCGCTTTCCTGCGTCCGGCTCCTGCACATCATTACATGTTTTCTTGCTCTCCATAAAATGCCCTGCGCGTCTCATATGTCGATTGCGTGCGTTCTTGCAGCATGCAACACCTTACGTCGCAATTGCAGTAGAGTCAGACTTAAAAAGCACTTCCTGCTCTCCCGGACCAATAATTACGCGTGGTTCAGGTTCCTGGATCCTGGTTGATGTTCGGCTAAAGGAGCAATATGAGGCGGGCCATCCAGAGGGTGCTGTCTCTGTGCCAATCTACGAGGTAGGTCAACATAGAGCATGAGCTTCCAGAAAGCCAAGCTCGCGGCCCCGACCAACGCACGTGAATCACCATAATGAACGGATCGTCAACAACAGCAGCGGCTATTGGACCGGAACAAGAGGATTACTCAAAGTTGTGCTACATTGTTCCGAGGAGCCGGCTGAGCTGAAGCAGCAATTCAACGCAATCCTCTTCCCCTAGTTGGGGCCCCAAGCCCTGCGCGCTTGTAACAACCCCCCGGCCCAGTTTATATCTGGTACCTGCTTCACTCGTCCGTGGTTCACCTTCACCCCGCAGCCCCACGGGCCCTATCTCCCGGGCCCCCCCACACACACATCTGGTATCTGCTCCATTTACCAGTGTTTCGTCTTACACCCCCACACACACATACAAACACGGCAAACACCAGGATTCTGGTCTGGATCCAGATGTGGATCTAGGGATGTAAGATCGTACCTGTGTCTGGATCTCGAAGTGGGTCATGCCCGTGATGCGCCAGCTTTCGAGGGCAGCCCCCCTGGAGCCCCTGGCATCCTTGGCAACCGACCGGCTTGTGTGCACCCTTCTGTTCCCCTTTTACCGTCCAGACTATTGATCTGCAGGGGGCTGATATTCGAAAAATGTTGAAGGCGGTGATGTACAAGTGAGTTGCGTGAAACTGATTTTTTTTCAAGTACAACACGGAAATGTTTTTTACTTAAAAGTATATGTCGTTTTGTTATAAAAAAATCGGTGGAGGGTTTCTTGCACGAGATTGGGAAGAGCCGACCTGGGTCACCTCCGATTCCTGTCCCTGGATCTGGGATTTTTGGATCCGAGCCAGGATCAGAATCTGGATTTGAGCTGGGCTCACAGTCGCGAGTTTTTAAATGGGAGGCATGTTCTGGACACCTACACAAGTAAGGCAACCATCCCACACGACAACGCCCCATCCCTACTCCGAAACTCCGTACTCCTCTTCCCACGACTGCCGTACCATTCCAACCTTCTGCAATCCACGGCGTACCACCGCTCGCCGTCGTAATACTCTCACCCCTATTTGTCGTACATGCCGTACATCCAGGTCCAACGGCGTCAACCCCGTGGATCCCAACCCCGCCTTTGCGGAGCAGCTCAAGGCGGCCGTGGCGGCCAGGGGTGGTACGGCAGCCGTACAGGGGGTGATTACGTGCTGCGAGGCGGGCGGTACGTTGAAACCGTCAACTAACTTCCCTGAGGGCAAGCCGAGTCGTTCTCTACAGGCCGCTTACCGGGTCATGACGGAGCGTCTGGCGCCCACTGTGGCCCATCTGGGTGAGAAAGCGGGCGGTGAATATATGTATTATGTATGTATGTATGTATGTTGCTCTGTAGCTATGTATGCAGCTATGTAGGTATGTTTATTGTTCGGATGCCAGGTCTGCCAAATGGCGGGAGAGGTGTGCTCGGGGGCCCTATGTAGCAGGGCAGAAGGCGCGACATGGCCCGTGGCAAGGGGGTTATACCTGGCACCGCCGCCTAGAAGGGTGCAAACCTCTAAACCTTTCCCCCCTTTCCCCCCTTTTCCCCCGGTGGGTGTCTATCTTGTGTGTGTTTTGTGGGGATGGGGTTTCTCCTACAGAGCGTGGTGTGTTTGGTTGGTACCAGGCGAATTTACCAATGGAGGGCGACTACACGCCGGACATTGGTCGTACCCCAATGGTGAGTGTACGGCTGTACGGCGTGGGGGCTGCAATGCTATGGGGAGTTGTGCGCTTTGGGTGGTTAGCTGAGGTGTCAAAGACCCCTCTTTTCCATTCGCTTGTGGTATCTTTTAAAACACAGCGGCCCCCGACTCTCCTACTCACCCCGCTGCGTTATGGAGGTCTGGATACCCGCGCCCTGTCGAGCTTAAATGGCGTTGTGTATAGTTGTCTTTATTTTCCCCTCCTTTCCTCTCCTCGTCTGTATAGTTGTCTTTATTTTCCCCTCCTTTCCTCTCCTCGTCTGTATAGTTGTCTTTATTTTCCCCTCCTTTCCTCTCCTCGTCTGTATAGTTGTCTTTATTTTCCCCTCCTTTCCTCTCCTCGTCTGTATAGTTGTCTTTATTTTACTCTCCTCCCCTCCTTTCTACCCCCCCTTAACAGCTTGGTATCCAATTGATCGGACATCCCGGGTACGGATGATGTGGAAACGAGATTGCTGTGTGAGCTCCCTATAGTGGCAGGGGTTTCGTAACTCCCCCCCCACAGCTCTCCCGCTCCCCGCCCGACCCGGCTGACACTCCCCCCCCCCGGCTACCCGCTACCCGCCCCGTCGTGTTTTGCCTCACCCTCCAGGCTGCAGCTGAGCCGACCCTCCAGCGTCTAAACCAGGAGCGTGGGTACGAGATGCGGCCCGAGGTGTGTACGACAGCACGGCAGTGTGGCAGCAGTAGTAGCAGAATTAAGGGTGGCGGAAGGGGTCGGGGTTAGGAGAGGGGACGGGGCAGCCAGCATCAACCCGCTCCCAGCCCCCCCTGTTGACCTTCTGGCGGAGACTGCCGTTTCCTCCCCTTCCGGTAAATGCCCCTCCCCGCCCCCCGCCCCGGCCTACTTGGTGTTGCAGGACAAACCCGTGGAGGCGGGCAAGAAGCTGTGGCCCTGGTGAGGGTGAGGGTGAGGTGGTGCGATACACAGGAGGGGCGAGGGGAGGGGAGGGGAGGGGAGCTGCGGTCTGCGGCGGTCCTTCTAGACATGAGAGGAGAAGCAGTGCTTGATGAGGTGGTGCAATCCGGCATGAGAGGAGTACGGCACGATGAGAAGTAGGGTTAAACAAGAGGACCACGGCTTGGGTCGCGGGTGGTTGGTGGGGCTTAGGGTTTGGGAAGGAAAGTCTTCTGACGGCCTTACCATCTTTTCTGATTGGAAACGTTGCAGAGGGTTGTGTTTGCGGTTGTAATAGTGGTTATGGCAGTTAGTGGTTGTAGTGGTCTTGGCAGGGCCTTATGATACATCT